GATAAATTATTTTTATTTTTTCAGATAAGTGTGTAATTCTTCGTTTTTCTTTAGTTTTTCGTTAGAATATATTACAGATGCATTTGCTCTGCGTTTGAAGAGCATTTCAATTTCACTTTATTATTCGATTTTACCCTAACTTGCTACTCATCGATGTAGTTACAGGTAATCAATGAAAATTATATACAAATATCGTAGTGAGAGAACTCTCTTGCCCCTGTGCTGTCCCGCAACCAATTAACCAGTTAACTGTGTTTTATTATATTTATATTTATATTTCTTATATTTATTTTTAGAATTTTCTCTAATTTTCAATAAATTATTAATAACAATGTAGTTAGATCGATCGTTGTTGAGAAAGAAATCATAAGGCAAGGGGTTAAAAAAGTTTTGAAATATTATAACGAGACGTAATAAATATGTATTTATACAATTTGTATTCATTTTATGCCTCAAGATAATAATGGGGATTTCCTCGCATAATTAAAGCGAGTTTACAAATTGAAATCACATTGTAAATACGAGAAATAGTAGAAAATTGATGTGTTTGCGCGCTACAAATACTTCGTCAAAAAGGGTTAAGTCGTGGATGGACAATAATTGATTTGGGATTTGCCTTTGCGTGTTGCAACGACTGTTTGATCTTTCTGTGAACCACGAAATGATCAGTCAGTTAGTGAAGCTGACGAAAATGAGAAGTTTAAGTAGATGCTGACAGTAGATGAACTCCGACACGCGATTTTGTCGTTTAGGTGAAATCTTGCGGGATCCTGTAGAATGGACAAGAAAAAATCTTTTCAACGAAAATTTATAGAATATATATTTAGAAAATAAATTTTTCGTTTTCTACTTAATATAACCGTTTTTCATTTTTATCGTGTTTCGAACTTAACTTTCGAATTTTATGATATATTTGGGATTGGAAAAGATTTAACTGTTTTTTTTTCTTTCGGATAAATAAATAGAACGAAAGAAAATGTAAATTAAATTTCATGTAATGTTTTCTGTAAATTATGTACCATTGATGATTCAAACTTGTTGAGATTATATCACTGATAGACTGCTTATATTTTAGACTAATTTCTATGTTTTACTATTTGTACACGGTTAAGTATAACAAGCGAGGATTTAAAAATGTATTATTCGTAACGTTTTAGTATAAAGTTGAGAAGCGAACTTAACAATAAACATATCAAGAGGCATTTGCTGTGTTTGCAGATAGGTTTTGCAAATGGACAACGAAAAACCAGGTCAAACCATTTGAATGAAACGGCCGTCTGTAATCAGAGATAACAAATTGCGAGGATACATATCATTGGGTATACAGAGTGTATCGTGACATGTTGAATCCATCTGGGGAAAAAAGTATAAATAAACATATTTACAGATAAAAGTGTCCGCCTCTCTATTTACATAATAGATTCATTTTGTATATGTAACGAAAGCTGCAGTTACTGGTTACTAGTATTTTTTAATTCAAAAACTGAATTCTACGGTTTATCAAGAAAAAAACATTTTTCTATATCATCTATTTTACCTTGTTTCAAAGTTACAGTCATTTTTGTGTTTCAATAATTTATAGTCACCCTAGATCTGTATGCAAAATTGCAGTCGTATCAAAGAATTTTGCAAACGCGGTTTCTTGGAATTCTTTATTTTTTATTGATTCAATTTAACGCGGTTTTGCAAACCATTATGCTCGCATAATACATATTATAAAATAAAATAAATACTTTCCTTATTCACTGTATAAACAAATAAAATAATATTTTTTTATTCACTATCCTGTTTCATCTATTCCTATTATTTACGCGTTAAGATGATTTCGTTTAATTTAATTTAATTTTTTCTTTTATATCTCAATAAAATTTAAATTTAGACTTTATCGAGTCATTTCGATACGAACGATTTCAAACGATTTTCGCTAATTACTTTGGATCGTTATTAGCTTGATAAACCGATTATAACATCATTTTTCTTACGGTAAATAATAAAGAAATATTTTAAGCAATGTTCAAAAAAAGAAAACGATCCATTGTTCCCTGAACACAATGACTGAAATCAATATTATTAATACTCGTACAACTCCAAATAATCATCAGTTCACTACCCTTCGTTTGCAGCTAGTTTAATGCATTTTGTATTATATTCTCATCGACATACATATTCTGTCAACCAATCCAGAAAGACATTGTTGGTAAATATAACTTTACAACAGTGTTTTTCGATCCTGTTAAAATGGTCTTCCGCAAGTTGAAATTTAGTAAATTGATTCTCTTGAAATATTAGCAGCTTGGATGGTGTAATTCCATCTATTAACACGTTGAATGCTATGGCAGTCACTAATGACAACCAAATCGAATTACTTTAATTCACTTAATTAAACAATGATCATTTCAAAACATATTTTTTTATTACTTCCTCTGTTAGTTACATTTCGTCCCTAGACAAAAATATTATAAAGACATTTCTATATTACAAGTAATGCTACCTAATGCAGTGACATTCAGCAAGATAAATGTACAATAATAATAACGCGATGCAATGAAATAGTTTGGCATTATGTTTTCTTCGTTTTGTGTATTTTGCTCCGTAAAATCGTACAGCATGCAACGTATTAAATTATATTTTTAAAATGATGTTGAACAGTTTCGGTGGAAGTGGCTGCGGTCAAAAATAAAAATAAAACTTAAAATTTAATTATTATAACCACTAATTTGATTTTTTTCAAGAATTAACTGAAGTTACTTTCAAAATAAACAGCTTATATTTTGGTAGGAATATAACCGCTATTATAAATTATAATCTACTTAAAAGAAATGCTGATGCAGCTTCACGATACAAATGCAACTCCGCAATAAGAAAACAACTTTATTTGTCCGGTTCTCGTAAGAAGTCAAATAAATGAGTACATTACAACATCGTTTGACGGAGGAGAATAAACACACGACCCACGGTCTATAGTTGCTTTGCTCACATGTCGAAGAAGTAAAGGACATGGAGTAAAATGTTTGACTATATCTTTGTTGTTCTGGGAATCTGATCTGAAATAAATTTTAATATCAAGGGATTTTAAAAGTTTGTGCATAGAATGTTGGGAAAGAATTATAGAAATAAATAAAGATTAAGTACCAATTAAGTAGATTAAGTACATTTTAAGTACAAATATTAAGTAAAATGTTTTTAATACTCCAAAATATCCTCATCCAGGAATAGCCAAATTCAAACAATTCTAAAGAGGTTTATCCTTTCAAAACGAATGATTCAATATGACAAAAGCTTTCAAAGTTACTACTAATAAATTTATATATATAGGGTAATTCCGGGTGAGACCTGATCATATTTAAATCGTCAAATATCTATTGGGTTGATGCATATATTTCGATGTTTTGTGTATGTGTAACGTGGTTAACAAAAAATGTTTTTTCCTGAAACAAATAACATCCGTTTTCAAACTATTATAACATGCATGCAAAAATTAAAAAACTGATAGTCAAGCAATATAGGAATTCGTATAAAGTTAAATGAATGAAAGAAAACACAGAATTACTGACCCTTTCACTACAATGCACAAGACATCTCGGTTCCATGATGTCGAAGAAATGATGCTATGAATGAAGATATCTCGTCAGCATGATATCGTACATACCATGCAATAGACGAGATATCTTGTGTATCTTTATTATTGATACGAAATATTTTATTTGAATGCGACCAAGGGAAAGGAAATAATACATAACAGCTATAATAATAGTTATCAACGAATGTATTCGGACAGCATTGCAAGAAGTACATAAATTATCGTTCAAAAATCGTACACCGTATATTACTATTTATTGAAACAATTCCCATTAATAGCATACACACGCAATAAAATTTAAAAAATATTTAACAATACCCAAACAAATTATA